TTAGTTTTGATGCAAAAACGCATGATCGCACCGGCTCGCCTGGTGCGTTCCAGCCTTTGTTTCACATGTGTACTTGCGCTACGACTGGCATATCTCATGTCCAGCATGCATTTGCATTGTCCACTGTTTCATATTAGGGTTTGCCAAGCGAAAATGTGATCCGTTGGACTGTAATTCTGAGTCTAGTTTGCTTTGTCGACTGTCGCTCATCGAAAATTTTTGATACCTGGTTAGTAATAATCCTCCTGAGCAAATTGTTAACTGGGATTATTGCTAACAACGCACGTGGAACTTGTTTCTGGGGGCTTGTTCATTTTGAAATTAATCTTTGTGGTTCGCAAAACACTGCTGATGAGAAGACTGTCCAGGGGAAATTGGTGTTATAAAGTTGGTTCGATTCCGATATAAACAGTGGATTTGCAAAACAGATGTGGAAATTGCACAGCAGGTGACTTAGAATTCAGGAATGAGGACGCTGAGTAGAAAGCGAGACAAACTCGTAGAGGCAAATTTGACGGGGCCCACAAGAGCTTTACGAACGCCCGTAGTATGGAGCCGTCTCTTTCTTTGGGAGTACTGCCTCATAATTCAGGGGCTAGCCTCAGATTCTCCCACCCCCTACCTGGACAGATCGGACAGAGCTAACCTGCCTTTGCACTATAAGCTTTAGGAAAGCTGCGCGGAAGAAATGCAAATTTTCGCTGCAAGGCCAATTAATAGGGGAAGCTGTGCTGCCCCGTTCAGTTCATTCGGTAAATTCGTTCACGGGTGGAAGCTCGGCTGATTGTCGGTGGGTTTCGTATGTCCAAGAGGTGGCACCGCGATGAGCGATCAGGGAGTTGCGGTAAGTTAAATTGTACTGAGTGCCGGTTTCGAAGGTCTGCTTCTCGCTTCAGAACTGCAAATTGAGAGTGTGCAAATTTCAGCGGGAGCCGGTGCCCCAGGAGGACCGCGTGCTGCACCTCGATGGGCAACTCGATGAGCAGCTGATTGCGCTTCCACAGCAAGCTTTCAACAACTTACTTGAGGCAATGCTCAGAGCGCAGGAGCAGCGAAGAGTGATCAGATACCGGCTGTACCGCTACGAAGCGGATGTGGAACGAGGTCGATGAAACTGCTTTGGCAGCTCAGCTTCGGGAAGGCGATGCTTTTTAGTCGAGCACTGCTCTGACCGTTCCCTTCGCTCTGGTCCCCCTCCCTTTCCTTCATCTTCTTCCACTTACAGGCCACTCTTCTCGGATGAACTTCTGGTAAATGCTGTTTCGAAATGTCAACTGTAATTGTTACGAGCATAAAAACTATTGTTTTGCTCACTGTCCGTGTAGCCCTTTGACCTCTGTTAGGAACACTGAGATCGCCTCGAATTATCAAGCTTAAACCCCTTCCATATGGCTGTGGATTATCGTCTTCATGCGATTTGCGTTGCGTCAGCGGACCAAAATGCATACAGTTTAGGGTTTATGTATGTGTGTGAGTTTTGCATGTGTGTGTTTGTGTATGCAAATATGTGTATGTATGTGTGTATGTGTGTGTGTGCGTGTGTGTGTGTGTGGCTGTGTGTGTATGTGTGTGTGCGTGTGTGTGGAGGATTCAGCGGAGTAATCAGAAAAGTTAAGAAGCTGAAATTTTGGGAGGATGTTTCTTATGCATGCGCGATCTCACACATTTAAATTCCGCCTCCAGATACGTCTACATCCCACGTACAAACATGTGAAATGTTGTGTGAAAGAATTCCCAGTTCGGGGACCAGAAAAAAAGAAAATTGAAGTATCCGGAAAATGTTTGGAATTTAAATTCTACTTCCACGTACGTTTAGATCTCACACACAGACACACCTGACAGTTTTGGCAAAAAATCGGCTAAGTAGAGGGGCAGACAAGATAGCTGATTTTTAGTGGATATTTGATGTCATATTCAGTCTCCATGTACTTCTCTTATAAGTAAATTTTTGGCCAAAAATCGGCTAAGTAGAGGGGCAGACAAGATAGCTGATTTTTGTGGATATTTGATGTCATATTCAGTCTCCATGTACCCTTCTTATAAGTAAATTTTTTGGGAAATTTTCTGGGCTCAAAAGCAAACAATCTTTTCGACGATTCCTGCACATATCAAACTGTAAAGCAATGGAGCAGCAAGCGCCCGTTAAATGAAACTGCGCAAAGTGCATGGACACCACCAATTCACTTACCGCACTTTGTTATTTGTTGAACTTTGCGCCTTCTCCGAAATCGCATACTTAGAAATGTCCCACGATTGCTGCAAAGAAGCTGCAATAGGTGGCCATGTTTCACAGCGTTTCTTTTGAAACACGATAATTATTCATTGCAGTCTCTGGGAGTTTGAGCCGTACTTTGGCGAGACGCCAAATATTTGTTGGCTGTCTATTATTTGAATGGCTCATTGCTAAAATTCGGCTTG